CACACACACACACACACACACATATAATATAGTGGGTTATAATTATACCGGTGTAACTTTTACTAAGTATTACGCTGCTCAATAACTTTATATTAAATGTGAATTTTGTAAATCCAACCATTAAATTGAAAATTCTTTACTCTTAAATCATATATACAAAATGTTATATTAATCGATGATGATTTCTTATAAAACAAAATTAAATCTGTCGAAAAATTTATATTTTTGATGAGAAATTTTTTTTAAGAAAAACTATATTATTGATGGAATATTTCAGACAAACTTATATATATATATATATATATATATATATTATCATAACTAAAAATTTCAATACACTTAATAATAATGTTGAGAATATTGTTACCTAAAAACATTAGGATATTACATTAGAAGCTAGCCAATAGAAGTTATTAATAAGTTTAGACATTTCTTTATATCTCCACTGTGATGGTATCTTTTTCCTTTTACTTTATCATGATGTCATTTTTCAATCAAACTTGAATTTTGATAGTACCATTAATTTGTTTGAAGATGTTTCAATAGTTAGTTAATAGTTAGTTAATTATGTGATTACTGCAACCATTATGTAAGTAAAAACTTCTTATTTTATCACTAAAATATCGAATAACATAAAAATGTTGTTACTCATTGTCTTGCTCTTTAGCAAAATTTTCTTGATTCTTATAGTTTTTGTTTCAACAGTTCTTACTCACATGTTTAAATTTCTTGTAGTGTTGACATTGTGGATTTTCACAATTCTAATATTTTTTCTCCAAATGACTTGTCTTTTTTACGAATGTCACATGAAGAATTTCCTTGATTGATCTTAGGGAAATTTCTAGAATTTCCTTTACTTTTAGAAGTTTCTCCATAATATTTATTTCCCCTCTTTTATACTTTATTCTAAGACTGTAATGTGAGTTTGGATTGAAAGGCAGTATTGACTGAGTCTTCTTGACACCTTTTCAATCTTTGTTCGTAAGTTTCAAGATAGTTCACTAGTTGCGTTTCTAAGAAGGTAAATATAAATTTAGTTTGTTCAATTATGTGACACCTTTCTATCCTAAATTATAATAAGAATTTTTTGTATTGAAGAATTAAAAATATTTTGATAAAAACAAATTAAACTTAGTCATTTTAGTAAAAGGTTTCTATCCTAAATTATAATAAGAAATTTTTGTATTGAAGAATTAAAAATATTTTGATAAAAACAAATTAAACTTAGTCATTTTAGTAAAAGGTTTCACAAAACTTTCATAAGTAAGACTCTTAAATTAAAACATGATTAAACTTTCAAAATAAGACACAAACCATTCATTTACATAAACTCTATTAAACTAAAGAAAACATAAAACTCTCCAATTCTAATGTTACACTATCAAAACAAGATCCCAGAATAACCATTGAAGCATTAGGCTTCACCTCCATTAAACTCATCATCTTATACCTGATCTAAGCATGCAAGCGACGATCAATCCAAACACATACTATAACAACAAGTAGGAAGTGAGAATACATCTTATCCATGTATAACACATATAAGACATGCATAAAAATAGTTAAACATACATACATCATAATTCAAACTTTGATATACACATTTACATTCATCTCCACATCCAAGGCAACACAGCTCAATACATTTTTTTCCATAACTTAATTAGTTGCAATTATAACATATGGACTCATGCAATTGCATGTTCCTAATTCTTCATGCATGTGATACAATTCTCTTCCTCTTCCTCATCAACTCAAGATAACCTAGGTGTCATGGAATGGAACCACCCCATCTATGGTGATCCCCCTTGATCCATTCCCAACTAGGAGACGCCTATATATGAAGATCTTGTTGAAGTGTTATAGTTGAACATAGTTACCTCCCATTCTCGTTAAATGGTCTCCACCATAACACCTCGCAAGGCTTGGGTAGATGAACTTTGAGACCTACTTACATAGACTCACATTATCCTACAACAAAACATCTATGCATGGACCCCATAAATCACACAACACAACACATATATACAATAATCATGTGGTGATTCTTTGCAAGACTACAACCTTAGACTTTTCCATAAAACACCAAGTTTTGCTTGGATCATATCAATGCAACCTATAGCCTGGACTTACATGCTCTACATATCACCACCATCAACATCACCTTATACATCAAGTTGTCATCAACACCATCTCATACACATATCATCACTATACAACCTCATTATTTTCTCATCATTATAACAGTATACATTATCATTACTCATGTCACATATATGCACTTAAAGAATAAAATAGTTCACTATTATAGCTCACAATTATCTTTTCTTATATTGAGCTTTCATGACATTATGTGGTCTAAACATGATATTTATATTTATAATTATGTTATCTAATTGATCTTAATTTTATTAGAAAGCTAAGATAATTATTTACAACTTCCATGTAGATCTCAAAAATTTATTTTATCATCTACAATTTTAAAAAATTATAAATTGTAGTATTTTAGCCTAATTTGACAACTTTATCCTTACTTACTAATTTGATCATAACTTGAATTTCACACCTCCTTTTTGGGTGATTTCAGTGTCATTGAAAATTTAACATCCAAGTCTACAATGGTTATGAGCATCATGAAACTTAATTTGATCATATAAGAGTCTTGCAAGGCTTACAAGTTGCAAACTTAACTTTTCATCCATTGAACATGAGGTTCATCTTGTAACTCACATAACTAAGTCTTTTCTTAACAATTATATGTCATTCTTTAGTTTAAATTGTAGTTCTAAAATGTCTAGTTTTCAACCCAACAAACAAAACTCTATTTGGTTATCACACAAAGAGAAAACACAAGTTTATCGAAGTATCTTTAGTGAACATCAATTAAGGTCAAAACATCCAATTCACACAAAATCTCCAACTCATACAAACCTCCCCAATTATCACATAATCCTAACCCTTAGATATTCAACACTTAATAAAATTTAATTAATCATATCATACGACCACATGAATCACACAATCTCAATGAATTTCATCAAACTCATTTGATTACAAATTCTGAAGAGGTTTAGGGGTCACTTCGCAATCCATACCCTTCATATGGGCCAATGAATAAGACATTCTTACTCCCCTCTTACTTCAAGTGATGATTTCATAGTTCAATGCACTCTTCATAACATCAGTCGCTACTCCACACTCTATGACCTCCTTTAGATTCTCATATACAGGCACTCTTAGGGTTTTAGAAGGATGTGTAATGAAAATCTAACCCTTATTTTTTTATTTATTTATTAAAAGCCTTCAAGTTGGATGCAAAGTCCAATTCAAACTCTTCCTCCTTTTCTAACCCCCCCCCCTCTTATTTTATTTAATTAATAAAAATACTATTTATATTATATACTTAATTAATTAATTAAACTCATAATATATATTTTTTTATTAAAAATAATATATTTTATTTTATTTTAAAAATTTTGAGATATTACAAATTACAGTTGCATTTGCATCATATTTATGGGAGAACAAAAATTATAATTTTCTCAAAAATTTTTTGTCATGAATATTTTCTCTATATGCTCCTCATTTGACTAACAATTTCTATTATTCTAGAATTAATAAAAGTCTTTTACAATCTTAGATTCTTTTATTTTTTATTAACTCAAATTCTCGACGTCTTAGAGATTTAAGTTTAACATCACATACCATATCACTTCCTTGAAACTTTCCCT